GAATGAGGGTCCTGGAGGGAGAGGCCAGTTGGCGTGCAGGAGGCTCTTCCCTTTGGGCCACGTAAGCCAGTCGATCTGAAGGTGCCTGAAGCATCCGTGGCAGAAAGGGGTGCGTGGATGGCGCCTTTGGGTTGGCTGAGGCAGCTACAACCGCATCACAGGTCGGCTTCGCCCTCCACCCATTCCGGCCTGCCTGCCTTCCTCAGAGCTGCGTCTCCTGAAAACGGTCCCGGATGAACTTTGTGTGCGACTACGTCTCAGGGTCCAGAGGAATCGCAGTCTGAGGCAGGTGGCACCGGAAGTGGTCCTGGGAAGCTGACTCTCAAATAGGATTTGAGAGAGACCACTTGCTGGCCGGCTGACAATGAGGACGGCTTCACCGGTGCTGCGACACCACAGATAGGTACATTTCTGGCACTAGAAGAACATGAGGAAAATGGTTTACTAGAAAGACAGCAGAAATGGTGTCTGTTTCAGAACACTGAACCTGATGGAGAGAAAACAGGCTCAGGACGAGAGCAGGGTGGGGCTGCTGTTCTGTGGGGCGAGGGGCAGACACGCCCGGGGCTGGAGCTGCGGTGGCAGTGGCTGTTCCTGACTGTGTCACTTTCCTCCTTGACTAGGATGGCGGGACTGAGGTTCTGGAGCCCGCAGCTCCCCTGACAGTTAAGGTCAGCCGTGTGGCCTCTGGTTACTGCTCCTGGAAGCTAGACCAGATCTGTTTCTTCGGCGATCCCGATGGCTCTGCAACTGAACGCTGGTCAGTCACAGCTCAGGTCTGTCTGACTGCAAAGCACGTGTTCTGTCCTCAGCGCCACATGGCGACGAGGAGAACTGAGCTCCCAATACCTAAAATGAACTAAATCGAGGGAATAACAAGTAGTGGGAGGGAGTTAGAAAGAGAAATGGGTTCAATTTAGGCACGAGGATCTTGAACTACTAGGGCGACAGCCAATGGGGCCCCCGGCAGAAATGTGAGGGTGAGGGACTGGCTGTCGTTAGAGCTCCTGGGCCTGGAAACGTAGACTCTGAATCTCCTCCGCGAAGGGATAACTCAAAGCAAGCACGGGCCTGGCTCTGACGGCCGAGGAAGTGTGCAGGAAGGAGGGCTGAGCACGGGGCTGCGGGCAACGAAAGGGCGTAGTGCAAACACTCGAAACTGCCATTTGCCAACAACACACCTGGGTTCAAATCCCGGTTCTATCTGCCTTGCACCAGCTGGTGATGCGGGGCAAGTTCCTTAACCTCCGTGCTTGGTTTAGGAGGGAGCTCTAAGCATCTCTCTTTCCTGGCTCCAACCCGGTTCTTTTGGAGGAGAGAGAAGTTGCTTTGCATCCCCAGGCTTGTTGCCTCATGTTTGCAAAATGACTTTTCACAGCTCTGGTCATTGTGTCCTCATAAAACCTTATTGGAGACAAAGAGAATGGGTGAAAAAGGTGGCTCTTCTTTACTACAAGGCGACTTTTCTCCACTCTTCATCAAATGTGTTCTTACACCTCACGGGCCAGGACTGGCTTACACGGTCACCCTTAGCTGCACGGGAAGCTGGGAACGGGCTTCCTTGTTTCATTACTACCTGGAAGCTTTTTTCTTGTTAGTCTCTCTCTTTAAAATGTTCTTCCTGCGGACTTGATGGCTCGCTCTCTCATTTCATTTAAGTTTCTGTTCAACTCTTGTTTAACCTCCCTAACTAAAATGTATCCTTCTCCATCACTGTATCCTCGCTCTGCCTTTTTTTTTGACAGAGCTCATTGATTGATTTACTGGCATGCTTAGCTACTTGAATGTAAGTTTACCAGAAAGCGAGCCCACAAGTGCAGGGATTCTGATATATACACATTACTATATCCTGGTACCCACAACAGGGCCTGGCACACACAAGCTGCCTCTATACGTATTTGTTGAATAAATGCATAAACATATGACCGAGTGATCTTTGCAACAGCCCTGAGTTATAGGAGCCAGATGAGGCATCACCCCCATTGCGACTGAGGAAACAGTGGCCTGAGAATGTCCAGCAGCTTGCTCAAGCTTTATAGCTAGCAAATAGCCCTGTGGAATTCTAGGATTTTGCATCTATTTCCCTCTATTAACCCACACCTGGTCTAAGAGTGAGGAAGTCGGGCTTCCTGTCCTGGTTTTGTGGAAAACTGTCATGTGACCTTGGGCAAATGAGAAAAGTTGAGTTTTCTAAACCTTGTTATTCTTATTGTGTAAATAAAGGCAGGGGGTGTTCTAAAACCTCCAAGGTCCCTCCTGGCTTTAACTTCGCATGTGTAAGTTCATCACTGTTACGATACACGCTTCCTGCCTTAGAAGAGAAACAGCAGAGAGTAAGCAAGGTGTAGGTGTCGAGCTCGATGGTCTCACATGGACCCAGCACAGTTCACATCAAGCTCCCTGTTCCCTGGCCGAGAACCAGGTGACTTGCGTATTTGCTAGGCAGCTGCCCCTTGTCCTTGCTAATTCTCTTGGGCAAAACATTTGGCTTCTCTAAACTTCAAATCTTTTTTGTGAAGATTAAGTGGGATAATATACCCAAAACGGAGTTGAAATTGCTTGTTGCTCTGCAATTGTTGTAGTGAGCATGGCCAACATAGACAAACTGGCCATGATTTCAAGGATGACAGTTTGAAGACTGTGATACGTATGTAGCTCCTACCATGAAAATACTGTTTAACTATGGAAATAGAGTAAACACAGAATCCACGCATTTTTTTTCTGGAAAATAAATTATTTAAACATACAATCTTGCACAGATCACTAAAGGCAGTAAGAACACAACCTGGCTGTTCTGACATTCCCTGGGGTGCTGCCTATTTACATGGTGAAGACGGGTTGTGTGTGCCCCGGCTCAGACCACAGGCGGGTGCACACATGCTTTTTGCTTACATTCTATTGATCACGTGGCCATACCTGGCTGCAAGGGGTACTGGGAAATTTAGTCTTTGGCTGGGGTGTCCCAGGCCTAAAAAAAAAACCGACTTTGAGAAGAGAACCAGCAGTGACCCACAGCTTGAGACCAGAGTTGGGCACGATTACATCTATGACTTAGTTCAAATATTTTACAAATCAAACGCGCTCTAAAATGTGAATGTGAGGTGAACATTAACCTTATATCATCAGTCCTTGACCTCTCAGACAATGAAATGGTCAAGTATGAAGGTGAACTGAAGTGAGGGCGTATAGATACAAAGCTATTGGATTTCCTAGGTCAACATTTTAAAAAAAACCTTTTATATCAGGAATATTGCAAATGTACACAAAAGTAGAGGAAACAGTGTAACAAATCTGCATGTACTTACTAAGCTTCAACTATTTTCAACTCACGGCCAGTCATGTTTCGTGCAACGCCCAGGATACCAGGGCGTTTCACACTCTCAGTTAATGGGTAGACACACCCCAGGGCCGTGCGACCACTGTTACCATACTTGCCACCATCTATTTTTTAAGTTAAACCATTAAGTTAAACCATCTTCCAACAATCCTACGAGACAGACACTACCATTTTGCAGGTGAAGAAATCTGAAAACAGTGCTTAAGTAACTTACCCAACACCACCCAGTAAGTTAAGCACCAGAGCTGGGATTCAAACCCACGGAGATCAGCTGCAGAGGCTGTGCCTTTGGCCATGACACCAGTGTATCCACCTAAGAATCACACTGTTCCACTGAACGCTAAACTGCTTATCCAGAGCTTCTGCCTTAGAATTGCTCCTGACATGCTGTTCCCAAGATAAATGAAGAGATACTTTCCTTAAAACACAATTCAGGTGCTCCACCTACCCTCACACAGAATGATTTACTGGAAGCCACATTCTAACATGTTTGTAATTTTGAAATGTCAGGCTCCTCTCCTTCTTTCTTAACTACTACTCATGAGCCTTTCCGAATCTTAGAACTGAGATCCTCCTAGAGCATACTATTAAGATAATTTCAAAGTGTTCTAAACAAGATCATAACTTTTAAAACACTGTTTACACTTATCCAATTTTTTCCTAATTAATTTATGTGAAGGGTGTGATAGTGCCCAGCAGAGAGCTCATTATAATTACTTCTTCATTTACTCTAAGAACTATAGAAAGTAGGTTGGACAGGCACCATAATCAGATTTGACAGATGAACAAACTGGAACATTGAAGGGCTCGCATTCCCTCAGCTGTGCCTTAAGATCCACTCCAACCTGAGGTCTCATGGTTCATACTGGTGCTTAATAAGCAAATCTCACAATTCTTCGGGTGTACACAATATTCCTTCCTAGAGAAAGATTTGGATTGCCGAGTTTGGACTGTGTCTGACCTGACTCTGATGGTCTGGAGGAAATAAAGGAGGTAGAGGCAGACCTTAGGGCAAACACCTTGCGAGGCTCCTGCCTCTGGGGACGTCTTTGCAGTGTCTGCAGCAGGCAAAGAAGACTGTGCTCCTCTGCAGTGGGGGTGGTGGGGGGAGGCGCTGCTTCTCCTGGTGTTGAGAGGAATCTGGGATTCAAGGTTCTCAGGTCTGTCCGTTCGATACCCCCATCCCACGTTTCCTCATCTGGGCCCTGACACTGACATCGGATTTGTTCTCCCCGATAACTGTGCTGCACTCAACTAGCCCCTGGGACTGAACTTCAGCAGTCTTCCTGTGGCTATGGAAAGAGCAGGGGGTGCAAGGGGAGGGGTCCCCATGCAGCCATAGAAGCATCCTCTCCCAGCATTCCTTGCGGTTGATAGTTGGCTAGCCATGCCTGCCATTTTCTTCTCCTTTTAGAGGAAAAAGACCAGTAACCAAAGTCAGCCAGTCCTACATTCCTTCTCGTTAACACTGACCACCTGTTTTTTTTAACTTGTCAGTACAAGCACAGAAACAATGCTTCGCCTTCCGCCATCATTCCAGCTCGGCACTGGTGGGGTCTTAGGAGGGGCGATGCCACCCCATGCCAGGGGCTAACATCACCTGCTCACTAACATTAACCGGAGCCCTGGCACTATCTGGTTGGCCATTTTTCACTCTCTTACTAGTTATTTTTTTGATTAAAAAATTATTTTGGTCCAGGTTTTCTGGCCACCTTCTGTGGAAAGATTTTTCCAAATTATTGATTCTCCCATTACCAGGAGAAAATCCCTCTATTATTTCCTCTCAGAGCACATAATGCTTAAAATTTGGCAGAAGAACTGTCCCCTATCCTAATAAAGGCACAACTACACATCGAAGTATGCATGTTCAACATGACAACAGGCAGAGAAGGGATCGACGGCCTAGAAGACAGGAAATGCTAGATTTTAGATTCACCTCATTTTGCTATCTTTATTATCACTACAATAAAACAGCAAAAGCTAGAACCTGAATAAAGCATTACGGTTAAAAAATATCTCCCAGTCAAAATGGCTACGCTGAGGACCTTTAAGCCAGCCCCTCGTGGTCGTTATTAATACTGCCCCCTTCTTCGCTATGAACAGATCACACTTCTTGATCTCACACACTATACATGCTGTTTCCAGCTCTTTTTCAAATCGCTACCCCTAAGTCTTCAGACACAAGTTGCTCTGTCTACACATCACCTGGCTTCGCATGCTCAACAATGTTGTGCTGTATTGTCACAGGCGTTTTACAGACATGGCAAGTCGGGCTTAAAGGAGAACTGCTCCCACACCAATTCCCAACCCAGGGTAATTCCCATGCTGCCATTTCACTTGTCCGCTTGGGGCAAATCAAAGCCACCCCTCCTCCTCCAGCTCAATTTTCTTGAAGAAAAATGAGATGATGACACCACACGACCACCACAGTTCCCTCTCATGTTCTGACATCTTCTGGAAGAGCTGAGCCTATTCAGCTAATGGGCTTCTGTGGCAGTTATATAAGAGGTCACAGGAAGAAAAGGGCTGGGAGTTTTTAGCAGGGAGAATTCTAAGCCTCTTCTCTCTACTCCGCTAAGGACCACCCTCAGATCACTTGGAATAAATAACGCTTTAACCATTCGCATGTGTTTTCCTACACCCATTTGTGGAATGTTTTGATGTTATTCAATGAAGGGTGGTATCTGCACGTCCAGATAATTACTGCAGAATATGGACTGGCTGGTGAGTGAGTACCAAATAAATATCATGACTTAGAAGGATAAGCTTTTTTAAGATAAGAAACAGATCAATCTCTGGAGAGTGAGATCCTCTTCATCCTTACAGAAATATCACACATGTTCTTACTTGAGGATGTAGTGGAAAGAGTATCTGAAATCAGGAATTCTGGATTTAGTTAAAATTCCTCTGCTATTAATTAGCTATGTGACTTTGAATCACAAATCTATTTGGGTTTTAATATTCTCCTTAGCACATAAGGATGAAATGAGATGTTGCAAACTCTACTTGTAAACTCTTTAATTACTGTTCGAATGTAAATTATCATCTTTTTATAACATCGACCTGG